CCGCTCTCGTTCGTCGAAGCGAATGAACCTGTGTAGGTAACCATATGGATGAGTGATTTATGTTGCCCAACTCAAAACAACCCAACCCAATCGGTTTGCATGTGAGGATGCATGCAAAAGTAGCCTGGACAGAAGTGCACAAGGTCAACCACGAACACACAAACAGCATCAATTAATTTGAGGACAGGGAATGTCGCAATGAAAGGGCATGAACACATGAAGATGTATTGACCACTGTTTGCTAAGCTCTTACAGGGTCATTGCACAATACAGATGTCATTCTGCACACATACATACACACGCACACGATCCAAAGTAGAGAGTCATGGGGACAGAAAAAGAGAGAGAGACGGGTCACACACGCACACACACACACACAGGACAAGGAAATTAACAGCATGGCGACTTCATCGATCAAATCCAAAGTAAACAATGGAACCATAATATGCAAAATGGATAATTTGAGGAATAGGACGGATAAATATCAGCAAACAACGTGAGCCGTTCCAAATATCCCGTACACACTCATAAGCAGCAACAGCAAAAGATTACGGAAGAAAATTGAGATGGAAATTGCATTTGTAAGAAGGCATCTATATAGCGCAAAAACGGTTCTGATTCTCTTCTCCCCTCAGTTCGGTAACCGCATTTCAGTCATAAAAACATTGTTTTCCATAGTAAAAAGTGCCATTTTTATCATTTAGTTCATTTATAACAATATATATACATAATGAGAGAGAAAAAGATAAATATAAAAAATGAATTTCAAGGATAAACAGAATTGTATCACGCCTTGACTATAACTACAGGTACGCCTTTAAAAAAGAATACGAGCCAATATCAATGAATCATTAATCATAGCCAACTAAGAAGCTAGGGGCGGACAACCAATCGAACAGTATTTTCGTTTTGCTCTTTGATAGAACCTATTGCTGCGATAAAGATCAACTGGACCATGTATCAACTGTAGTGAGAATGAAACGTTTTAGTTACCACGACGATGGGCAAATATTTGAACCACATGGGCAATTCGGAGCATCCAGAACGCTATCATTTATTTCAACATTGTTCACCGAATCCGCGTCCGTAGAAAAAAGAAAGCGTGTTGCCCTCAGGGTGACGGACGAATAGGCAATGATCCGCGTGCATGTGCTCGTGAGGGTAGTGTTGCATTGTTCACCAGGTGAACATTAGATGGCAACTGGCATTTATTTTGTATCAAACAATTTTCCAGTTGACGACTTCAAAGATGCAGTTCGTCAAAACGTTTTGTCCGATGAGCGTTTAGCATTTCTCGGATATCCTGGTGTCATAAAACGTGATTTGCCAAGGCGGATTTCCAAGGCCAATACGTTTCACAAGAGAATGACCGTCAAATGTCCGTCGTTTAGGGAATTTCTACTTGTGAGCACAATAAGCGCAACTGCACAATCTCCAGAATTTCTTTTCGGTGGTTACTATCAAATCCATTAAAATCTACGGTTAGCTGATACAACAAACTACTGTCCACCACGGAAGTGCTGTTAACCTGGATAAATCATTAACTAGAGGTTCAAGAAAAGCTGCATCCTACGAAGCACACCTCTGGTTGTGGATAGAATACCACCCACAGAAGTTAACTGTGTATAGGTTATGGCTTCTCCTGACCAATAAGTAGTTGCGAACAACGACGGTACTACAAGGTTACAGTGGGTTTTAAGCGGACCGTCTAGGTCCTACCAAGAAACATATAGGTCAAATGACAACATGGTGGCAAGAACTGATTTGGACTGGGCCCTTGAAACTGAAGTTACTAACCCCTCCCCTCCTCCAACAAACTTTCCAATTCACTGGTTAGCGTCCGTTAACCCTAAGTCACTGAAGAAATCCCCGAAGAGAATACTCTCATTCAGGTTTAACACCCAGGAATTCTTTTACCAATCCATTTTACAGAGCTTCGCATTACACTTTACTCATCTATTAATGTTAACCTCACTAGGTAACTCAAAATATAACAATAATATAAATGTAAGAGCTATTTTCTTTTGCCTCTCGTGAGCGACTTGAAGACACGTAAGTTATGACTAAACAAAAGTATCAACACCAATTGCAGTATTGTTGAAGAAAAGTGTTTTCCAGCGGTATAATATACCTCACTAATATCTGGCCATTTTGCTAATTTATGTTGATTGAGTACAGTGAAGATCAGTTCGAAAAACCATTAACATTGCACTTTTGAGCGCCAGTTTTGGTTGCTGTCTTTTGGCTGCCCATTTGGATGAACAGTAGAAGGACAAGAAAGTTGGAAGTAGAGTCGAATAGAAAATGGAGAGGTTCAGTGGACTAATGTTGCAAAGAAATTAGGAAGATGCACGAACGCTACTGTTTACGGCTCCTAGACATATTACGCAGTGTCTTTAACCACCGGTTACGATCATCCCGAGGTCCCCAGGGGGCTTAACGGGACTTATATGAGCCAGTCTCCTGGTAAGTGTTTTCATACCCTCGTGCCAGGTCTTAGCTTGACCACCCTTGGCTTTTTTCCACCCACTAACTGCCTCGGCGAATATCGCTCGCCGTGGCAACCTATCTGGTGACATGCGTAACACATGTGCCAAACAAAGTAATCTACGCTCCAGTGGGCGACCGCAGTTGCGTACAACTCCACGCCTAACTTCAACATTGCTCGTCCGGTTATCCCACCAGATTCCTGCGACGCTGCGTAGACAGCGGTGTTCCATCACCGACAGTCTATTGAATACGAAGGCGAACGACCGATATCACCCAATTGTTGGCATCCTTTGCATTTACATCTTAGGCTGATGTAAGAACGAGCAAAGTGACAACCTGGGTAATCCAAGGGGGGAATCAGCATGCACGTAACAATGCAACGATTGGGGGTGTAATGCAACTGAACAGAAATCTGTGGCGAGGGACTAGTTTTGTTATTCACCTATCGACGGCAGCACATGCACACTAGCTGAAATGTATTACCTTTTGTGAATCAATTTTCGCATCCATTCGGGCGTTTCGGATGAGATTGACGATCCACTTTTCGGCTTCGTCCACGTTCATATTCAACTTTTCCGCCAAAGTACTGCAAGACAATTCGATACAGGAAAACAAAATTTTTAAATGAAAAATGGTTGCTTCATTTCAACTGAAATAAAAGAAGAATCAGAGCTGAAGGGTACCGCTGTTTCTGCAATGAACCTATCCCAGAATGGATCGTCTTGTTGTGGAGCATGTACTCTTGACCGTGAAACCCTTGGATGCGACTAACTGGTCAGAGCTTGAAGTAAATGGACTATGTGCCTCGGATTATTCAGCAGAAGTTCATAAAGCAGGCACAAGTAATGCACAATGAATAAAACCACTGACTCAGAGGGAGTGACCGCATGGAAAAAACATCAGGCACGGAAGATCGAAGCACTAACAGAAGCACTGTGACAGCAACTGACATATTATCACTTCGCCAACGCATCCATCACGTTTAACACTAATAGACAGATGGCGGAGAAAATCAAGGACTGCATGATGACGTAATTGTTCACCTTTTCAGTAATAACAGCGACATATGTATGACCGACTGCAATGGATTCCGGGTGAAACGGAAGTTAATTGTTAACTTGGTTTACCAGTGTTGTGTGAATAAATGAGGTAAAAAACGATCACAATCACGCAGTCTATTATGTCTAACAGGAAACAGAACACCTGAGTAATATTTGTTGCGTGCATTACTGCGCGGAAAAAAGCCACTTCGTAATTTATTCAACATGTCATCGGAATCATTGGTAAGTGAATGTAGTGACCGTTAGAGACCAGAAAATGTCGGCAAAGAGAAAGTGAATGAAAAAGTAAGACGGGAAAAATTTTGATTACAATGTGTATTTTGGTACATAAGTTTTGCTTTAGATTAGGTGTGAATTAAAATGTAACTTAAAGAGAGTAATCTGTGGAACTGGGCTTAAAGTGTGTTGGGCCCCGTACGAGATCAGGGTTGACAATTTTATGCTTCACTAGATAACAGACGTGTATTCACACCGACTGTCAAACAGCATCGATTTTGTACATAACCAACAGGCCAACTCAAGTTAGAACTCATACTTCATATGCGGGTTGCATTTATGGGAAGGTATATTTGAAAAGATTCCATCAGCATCCAAACTAAAACACGGTATGATAACTTGAACTTCATCTTACAGTGCTCTGAAGCCTTTTAGCTGCAAACTGGCTGGCTGAGTACATATACTTTGAATTGATCGATCTCAAAATCTCAAATGTAATGACTTGATGTGACAGCTAGGAGTCACTGGACTTCCAAGTGGAGTCCCAAGAATCGTCATGCTTAATATTCAAAAAGAAACACGCTCAGTTCGGTTAAGTTTACATGGCAGTTAACCTTGGACTTTCGCGTGGTAGTTTTGTATGCTATCATTTGGTTATCCATTTCGATGAAGAACATAAGGAAGAAATATGAAGACGGGAGCAGGACCAGCGTACAGAAGCAGAGTACAATGAAACAAAATCTGCAGAGAAATCGAGTGGATGCAGCAGCGCCACTGTTGATGACAGCCCTATGACCCTAGCCCCAAAACGTCGAATGGGCGGATTCCGAGGGCCCCGGGTAAATCCCATTCCCCTGGTCTGGGTTTTCGCGCCCTCATGTCAGGTTTGTCTGAGCACCTTTGATTAGCCTTCATCCTCCAGCCGGAGCCTATTCGGTGGCATGCGTAGTATGCTCCCCGGCGATCTCAATCTAAGAAAGTCAAGGCGCATTTGTATTTATCTAAACCTATTCACCTAATATCGATATTGTTTGTCCCGTTGTCCCACTGGCGTCGATCAATGCGGCGTTAAAAGTTGTATTTGTCCAGTTCTCTGTGTCATACAAGGCCATTGGCCGGACAGTCGCGTAAATACTCTATCCTTCGCAGATAACCAAACGCCGACGCAGAGTTACAAATACCTCAAATTTATCAACACTAACCACGTCTTCTGTATGCGTGTCGGCACTTCATTTGTGACGCGCCAACCAGGTGAGACGTAGCAGCAAGATTCATCGGCTTTCTCTATTGCCTTCCATGTTAGATCGGGGTTTTGGAGCTGAGCTCACCCAATCCTGTAAAAGCGTTCAACACATTGGACCTAGGGAAAACCTGTAAGGATGGGTCGACGAAAAGCATGTCTGTGTTCTAGAATCTGGTGAAGAGTGAAAAATTTGGCTGACAGCCTCGACTGGGCCTATAACTAGCCTGGTTCTCCAGTATACACTCTGCGTGCGGCATAAAATAGAGGGAGTGTAATAGCAACGAGAGGCTTTCATTTGTATTTGTGTAACTTGCGTAAGCATATATGCTTACATTTCGGTTAAAAATGTACATTGTTCACGCAGCATGAAATAATAATAATAATAATAATAAAGGTAAAGAGTGTCGGTGATATTTGTTTCATGTACAAAAATTTTGATGTAGTTCATTTGAGACCTGCTCCTTTTTAATAAGCAGTCGGGCCAGGTAGGATACAGGGGAATTCCAAGTTTAATCAATGTAATCAATGTAATTTCTGTATTTCTCACAAAAGGATGCATCATCTTTTTTGTAAATTGGCGTGATAACCAATTCACACCATTTTCGTGCCCATCCTTCCAGACGGTGCTGGTGATCGTAAATCAGTGTACATTTGAACTCCTTAAATATCACAGTCTCAATTTCCGTGGATCCATATTCCTGATTAGACGGAGAAGATTGCACCTGCTTCCAATGACCGCAGCCTTCCTCGCCCGCTTAAATCTCATCCCTTTTCGAGGTTATTCTTTAGGCTCTCGATGAGCCGACGTTTGGGGGATTCGTGGGCTGTTCGGTGGCATCCAGGAGGACGGTTCCGTTAGCGTTCAGTAGAGTAGCAGAGGTCAAGGAAAACCATCGTTTGTGCTTCGGTCGTCTGCCAGAGACCAACGTTGATTTGGGAGACGCTCGAACTTTGATCGTCTTTTATTGAGTCCCTCAGCGAGAGGCTGAATAGAGCGGTGACGAGAGCGCTTCGCTTCGATTGGTAGTTGTCGCTTGCATTTGTTTCAGGGTTAGACTGGTACAGTTGTTTATTAGATGCAGCAATATCTGGCTCGTACCACGGTGTGCTCCATGCCCACAGGAGTAGACTAAGAGAAGTCGCAGTCTTGAATACATCCTCGCTAGTGATACCAAACACTAATGTGATCGATTTGAGTCTATCGTTAAGAAGAGTGTGATGAGTCATGTAAGGCTGTATCCCATTTTGGGAACAACATTTTATCTGCGCTGACTTGAAGTAGGCGATCTCCTTTGTCCAGTCAGTTGCATAGGCTTGTCTTGGCGAACTTCCATCTGATTTTGTTTATTGTGCTGCTCTGACCTGTAGGCATTAGTACTAAGTTTACAAGATTAAATTAGATACCAATCGCGCATTCATTTAGGTAACCGCGGACGTCCTTTGGAACAAGTAGTCGATCTCCATAGATGACGCTGGTTGGGAAATGCATTGCTCGTGTCACCAAATAGGTTGCCACGGCGCGCGATGTCTGCAGGTAGCGGATGGAAATAGGTTAAGAGTGGTCCAACTAAGACCTAGCATGAAGGTATGAAAACCCAATCCGGGACAGTGGGTGATGTTAGGTTCCCTAGATGAGTACTCCCAGATAACGGTAACCGGTGGTTAGAAACAGTGATATGGCTGAGTGTCGCAAACAGTGGCGCTCGTGCGTCTATTCAGTATTCTTGAAGCCCCAGTTTATATGAATTTTCTGTCTTGAATTTGCTCTCAAAATTCCAATCTTTATTCCGCTCTTTTATCCAAATGGGCAACCAAAGGACAGCAATCAAAATCGGCACATGAAAGAGTATGGTCAATGGTTGTAAAAACTGACAACTGCATTTCCACTTGGTTTGCTCCATCTGATTTGCCTACCTTGCTGGTTAAAATCTGAGTGGTACATCCGGAGAGGCACCATGGGGAGGCATCTCATGTGTTTTGAGGGGGGAAGAAGGGTCCAGATATATGAGGAGGGATTTCCAAATAAGGGCCTGAATTGGTAGTTAACTAGTAATTTACGGAGGAAAACTAGTACTACACCGGCTTTCCAAAGATATTCCTGGAGTGTGTTAGCAGGTTTTACTGTTTACTTACCCTATTTCAACACTGTGATGAATACGACAAAAAGACTCAAACATGAGAAGCCGTGCGTTTTCAATAAACTCTTCATAGCATCCGGTGAGGAAGAAGTCATTGGGAAGTACCTGTAAAATTGAGAACAATCATCACAGAGTTCATGATATTAGAAGGTATTTGACAGACGGTTCGGACGATATCATATTACAGGATACGAATGCGGTGGAAAACTCATGGAAGAACTTTGAGCAATAATTAGAGACGGAGAAGAAGTGTGAAATTCCAAAACAATCCGAGTAACACCCATGTGAAAATAATAGTCATAGATCAAATTAATTCTGGGAGGTTGGGGTAACCGTCGCCTACAATTCTGAAGTCGCAACCCAGAAGCACTGTAAACATAACATGTAGTTTATCAATGGGGCTAATAATAGTAGCAGTAGTTCTGGTTAAGCAGAAGATATGACCGAGTAATCAATGGTCATTGCCCTATCCAGATCATCTAAAGTGTCAGCAAATTTTGGCTACCTTGAATAGATATGCAAACGGTGAACTAAAGTGGAGGATCCTATCTGCAGCCAACAAAGCCACAGAAACACGTTCATTATGGGTAAGCTACGATGAAAACAGTAAAAACCCAAATTATTCATTACGCAAGAACTGAAAGGAGAAATTTCGTGAAATAGCATTATTCTATTATTTCTCCCAAATCACAGGCTCAAGACATCCCAGTTGACTTTGATCTAAAACGAACAAGTTTACCAATCAAATTTGACAAAACTGTTAACCTACAGTTGAAGCAAACAAATACCGAGTCAAAAACCTCATTTCCAACAGGGCACATTGGTATCATGATTCACATTTAATGGAGACTTATAGTCGTGAAATCACACAACTTGGTGTGACGTAAAATCGTTGAGAGAGATCAAGATAAATTTTCCCAAGATCTTAACCATTTAGTTCGGTGTGCTTCTGAGTATGTTTAATGAGCAAAATAGACCGTTTAGACAGTTTAGCAAGCGACCTTTCTGACCCTTGCCCTCTCCATAAGACTGACTAGACCATGAGATGAAGATAATCATAGATTGCAAAATACTGAACGGGATTAGAATGTGAACAGTGGGACAGCAGCATAAACAGATATAATCTATTCAAGGCATAGAATACGACAAAAAAAGAAACAGTTATATACCGAGAGGATACGACGTCCAGATATCGAGAACGAGAATTCTAGTTAATAATGACAAATGCAGTATGAAAGATAGAGAGACTTACTGTTTCACAGGTGCGGAGCTTTTGTTGAGTGCCATCAAAATCGAATTTGACGAATAAACATTCCAGAAACTCGGTAACCGGATCCCGGTAGGAATAGCTCTCTTGCTGAATCAGATACACCAAGTCCCGGATCAAATTTTTCTTCTTTTTATCCGAACTAGTGATTACGCACACGGTCAGGTAGCGCAGTAAGTGAGGAGCCAGGGTCTGAATAGCATTCAGGTGACTGAAAAGAACAAAAATACGAAAACAATTAGAAAACAGTCGATAAATAACAAATGTGATTGCAACTGAGACTAGTATGAACACAATAATACTTGACAATATTAATTACCAAACAGGAAAAAACAATTTACTTAAATAGAATGTAAAAGTACCCACTGATAATTCACCATCACTTCGCTGAATCAAGAACAAATTGAGCACAACTCACGCGGCATTTTGCATGAACCATTCAATAAGTTTCTCTTTGCCTTGAGGGTGATTGAAGAAGACGAACAGTGACCAATGTAACATCCAAGTCCGTTGTTGCAATTGCATCAGATAGGTCTCGGAAGCGGGCTGTGTAAAAAGAACATCAAATTGAGTTGATTACTCGGAGATAAAACTTCTTACAAAAGAGAACGTCCATGGATCATCTTATTAAATACGACGCAGAAAAAGAAGCGATTAGACCCTATGGACACTTCATTCAGGAAGCCGCCCCATCCTACTTGCTGCGATTGTAAAAGTCCCACTATGGTCGGGAGTGTGTTTTGGTTAGTGGCAGGTGATCCCTCTCTAGCACTTCGCAAAATGCGCCCATACGACCAAGCGACTCAAACAGTCTCTATGGCACAAGCCCTATTCACTAGCTTTCAAAATAAGTGGACGAAAAGCCAAAATCCGGAGCCACAACCGGGTCGGAGAACCAATGGCACTTCACTCGAGGGGAGGGGCTAAAAATTCTGATTCTATACCAAACAAGAAGAGGCGAACGAACCCACGTTCTAGGTTGTGGTAGTGGTCACCGGCTCGATTGGGTACCTTGGAAGTTAGCTCCCGTCTAAAGGATCTGATAAACTAGACACCGCTCCCCAATGGATTGCGGTATCCACAGACCGTCCGACTGCCTTGCGGGTCAAGCTTCGGTTAGCGGAACGCTCCAATTGTGAATTCCGCAAGAATATTCACCTGCTTGGGTGTGGGCTACCCACAAATATCCCAGTTCAGTTCAGTTCTTGAAACCATTAACCACGCACTTTCGTGCACCGGTTTTGGTTGCTGTCTTTTGCTTGCCCATTTGGATAAAACAGCAGAATGATCACTAGAATGTTGAGAGCAGGTTTAAGCGGAAGATAGCACATTTTCATGGACCGAAGTTACAAAAATAATGAGTAGATGCATGAGCGCCACTGTTTGCGACACCCAGCCATATCGATCAGTGTCTCCAATCACCGGTGACCATGATCCCTGGATCCCCAGACAGGGAGCCTAACGGGAACTATGTGAGTCAGCCTTCTTATCAGGATTTTCATACCCTCATGCCAGGTCATAGCTTGATCGCCCTTCATCTTTTGCCAACCGCTACCTGCCTCGCCAAGCATCGTTCGCCGCGGCAACCTATCTGGTGACATGCGTAGCACATGTCTCAACCAGCGTAACCTATAAAGGTCGACTACCTGTTCCAGTGGACGATCGCAATCACCTAAAACTCTACGCCTAACCTCAGCATTCCTAGTCCGGTTTCCCCACCAGACACGTGCAATGCTACGTGGAGAGCGGTATTCGAACAACGACAGTCTATTTTTTCCTGTTCCCGTAATGGCCAAGTCTCTGCGCCGTAAAGCAGAACTGGTCGAACTGCGGCAGCATACACTCGACCCTTCACAGACAAATGCATGTCGCGACGGCACCACAAATGTCTCAAGTTGGGAAATGCCAACCGAGCCTTCTGTATGCGCGTCGACATTTCATCTATGATGCGTCCGCTAGGTGAGATATAGCTGCCCAGATAGCAAAACTTGTCTAATTTCTCTACAGTCAGGTCGATCAGAGTGAGGCTAGGGACTGGGCCAACCCAATCTTGGAGCAGCATTCTACACTTTGAAGGTGCGAAGCGCATAGCGAGCATCGCTACACTAGCATTCAAACTATCCAGAAAAGCTTGCAACCTACCTGAATTTTCTCACGACGAGATTGCACCTTGGCGTGGTGTGATGGCTTGCGCGCCTCAGTGACCCTGCGAGCTTTACAGGATGGCTCCTCAGCCGCAGATCCAATCATGCCTGAAAGGTCAACGGGTAGAGGCCAAACGAACACCAGTCTCACAAGACCAGTTGCTTGGGCATCTGGCTTCCTTTTCTATGCACACCTGCCCCTGGAAAGGCCACACCAGTAAATAAACGCGGTGAGGGGCAGTTTACCGGTCAAAAACCCCCCGCTAGATGGACGTAGGAGCGGGGTACCTGGGGCTTCCTCTCGGCGGTGGGAGAAGTCTTCGCACTTCATTGGACAGCTACCGCCCGCCTAAGCAGGGCAGCCCTCA